GGTGTTAAAGTTTAATCCGAAATCTTAAATTCAAATAACGAGTGAAATGTAAAACTGTGAGAAATTTTATGTGGCTTTGTTTGAAAATTTAGAATTGATCCATTAAGATATCAGAGGACATAGGAGTGTAGTCTGCTTCAGTAAAGATTAACGTTCCACGTTATTACTCTTCTTTTATTTTACGGTTCCGACGGTGTTCCGAGGCAGGTCACAGAGTTATGGAAGTCAGCTATTTATTATCGCAATATCGGCAAGTAACTTTTAACGGGTCGGCAGGGCTCGAGTGAAATTTAGTCGGGGCTAAAAGCCTGATCCTGCCGTAACCGTAAGCTGTAATAGCCGCCTTCCACCCCGCTCTTTCTGTTTTAGTTCCACGAACCCTTACCGATGAACGTAACACCGGAGTTACGAAGAAAATGGCCAGTGTTCTCGTCGACGTGTTCTGTTTCTAATAACCGCGATGTACCGGAACATCCATCGATATAAAACATTTTCATTTATTTTCATTATTCGTAGCTTGCATTCTGATTCAATTTATGTTTTACAAATTGCATCGCGCAAATATGAGATTTTTTTTTTTTTTTAATTGCGATGCGTTATAAATTACCCCGATAATTCGTTACGCGGTCAGCGCGGGTAAACGAAATATCGGTGATCATGAAAATTGGAATGGTCGGAGGTTTTTCAAATGAATCAGAAAAGGAGGGAGTCATTGTTTTTACCAACGTAGCGGACCCCGGCTCTGTGCGTTCGATGAACTCTATAATTGGTCGATACGATTAAATCTAGATGAATAACAGAGCAGCTATCGCGATACGGGATACTGTAATTGTTTCAATGTTTATTCGAAAATTTAAAGGATCGTTGAAACGAGCGAATGGTTAACAAATTATGGAGGGGCACAGGAGGACGACCGTTGATTAAAAACAGTCCGAGATAATCGATAATATTCAGCAGTGTACACGTGCTTTTATCGTTTATATCACGCAAACGATGTTAATTAATTATAGTTTCGAATGAAATTGTTATGATAATCTGCTCCGTGTGTTTAAGGGAGAAGTAGTCCATTCGATCGCACGATTAAAGGAGAATTTCTATTGTCGCTAGTTTTCAACGATGCAATTGCTAAATGGAGCGTGGCATAATTCAATTTTCACAGTTTTCCTCTTTTTTTCAAGGACCACCAGAGGTGCACTTTGGGAAAATTCTCAGTGGGTCGGTGAAAATTGGACCCTAATTAATTAAAATCGGCACCACCTATTCGTTAGCATTGCACTTCATTTCTCCAACAGAAAATCGACAGATTTCCAATGAAAATTCATCGAATTTTCTAGGTTTTCTCTTTTTTTCGAGAATCACCAGAATCGAATTGGAGAAAATTCTTGGTGGGCTGGTGAGAATTGTGCCCTAATTAATTAAAATCGGCACCACCTATTCATTAGCTTTGCACTTCAGTTCTCCAACAGAAAATCGACCGATTTCCAATGAAAATTCATCGAATTTTCCAGCTTTTCTTTTTTTTCACGAATCACCAGAATCGAATTGGAGAAAATTCTTGGTGGGCTGGTGAGAATTGTGCCCTAATTAATTAAAATCGGCACCACCTATTCATTAGCTTTGCACTTCAGTTCTCCAACAGAAAATCGACCGATTTCCAATGAAAATTCATCGAATTTTCCAGCTTTTCTTTTTTTTCACGAATCACCAGAATCGAATTGGAGAAAATTCTTAGTATGCTGGTGAGAATTTGGGGCCTAATTAATTAAAATCAAAACGTTCGAGAGAGTCCATCGTGTGACCGATTCGTTAGCATTCCATTTAGATCATCCAGCAGAAAATCGACCAATCTCCTTTGAAAATTCATCGAATCGACTGTCAACAAACTCATCTCCTCTCTGGCACCTTTCGCCTTCGTTAATATTTCAAAAGGTAGACACGTGCCACCGAGGCAATTTCTGTTTTCTGTAAGATAGAAAGAGGAGGTCGCGGTGTAATGCACTCGGAGTAGATTGGAGCGTGCGATAGTTGGGATCGAAGCTAACCTAAGAGCAGATGGGACTCGAAAAAGAAGCGGGTAAAAAGTAGGCGAGAAGATACTTGATTCTCTCCACCTCATTTATCCGATGTTTCTCTTGTAGCTCGCTTTAGCGACGCTCGAGTACGCTCTTCTTCGATTTACTGACAGGGTAAAAAGAAGAATACCGCGATGACAAAAGCTTTCCCCTCTTATCTTCCTCTTGTGCTGTTTTGGATTTGGGTTATCGAGTGTGCCTCGAACAAGGGGATCCACTTTTCGACGAAGACCTCGGGGAATTTTACAGGAAGGAACGATTCGAATTGTCGGTAATCGCAAATAATTCCCAATACCAGGATGTGTTACGTAACGCGTATCAGGATAGGGAAGGTTATAGTTCAAAGCATCAAGCATAATTGCATATCAACGCGGTCATGCTGCTGACCAGCCGAAACACGGACAAAGCGGTGTAATTTGTGGAATGGTGTAATCGGCTTTATGGCTTTCGCTGCTCTCGGTATTTGGCCATCGTTGTTTCGGAACCCTACCGACAACGTAATCGACGTCGTTGTTTCATATCTAGCAATTCAAGATTAATTATTGGGAGCTTCGTTTCTCCTCCCCAATTAACCCAGACGTTACATTCTACTCTGATCAAAACTGATTTTTATACGATTGAAAAGAACGAAGGAAAATTCATTTTCCATCGTGCCGAAATATATTCTCTGCAACTTTTCAAATTGATTCCACAAATATATACGGTGAACTAAATTTGTTTTTCAAAATTGAAAAATGAAAATTTCTATTCAATTTCTCAAATTTCGTCGATCTGCACGCAATTTCAAGAAAAATTGCGGGGGGGGGGAATTGAAAAACATGGAAAATTTACGAAACGCGGTAGGAAAGTTCTACCTGGAAATTTCTTGAATCGTCGTACGGTCGGGAACGCGGACAAGAAAATTTAATTGCACCCCACAAGTGGCGAACTGAAAAAAGGAAGAGGAGAAAAATAGAGGAAAAATTTGAAACAGGTTTTTAATTGTACGCTTTTTAGCGACGTTCCGTGTACGGGACTCGATTTTTGTACTCGCGGCTGGCCGAAAGCAATAAACGTAAAGTGTTCCGCTAACAGTGTCGAAAATAACGAACGGTCTTCCATTAAAATTAACGTTGTAAATCGTGAATGACCACTCGATTACTTTTAATTGCTCGAACCTGATGTTGCCGTTCCACCGGCAACTTTTCGCCAACTTCTATTTCCGCCTGCAACGGTTATACATTGGCTAAACGGCGTATAACTGTTAAAAAGTTGCTCGCTCGAAATTCCGAACTGATATTTCGACGGTCTGCTAGTAAATAAATTTCATCCCGAAACGATCGTTTAATTATTTCTGTCGAATCGGCTCTTTGACCTCTCGCTTGTTCGTTAATTAAAGCGACGATTCTTTTCGCTTTGACACGGTAGCCGCGGTATCTGCTCTGACAGTGATAATAAAAGAATAAAATAAAACACGACTGTTGCGTCGTGACAAACAAAATTGCAATGTTTTTTTATGTACCGCTGTTCCTATTTCATTAACCCCTCTGTATTTTTTGTCTCCAATTGTATATTTTATATTATCATTACCAGCCTTAATAACGAACGGGTTGAAATCGACTCTTAGAAGATTTTCCTTTCCCTGTGGTACGAGTTTTCGTAATTGGCAGCAATTTTTGCGTCTAGTTGTGCGAACAGAGAGGAAGGGACACTGGATGAAAGAGGGAGGGAAGAAGTTTCTAACAGAACGACTTTACCAATTAGGGAACAATCGTAAGGGGCCTGGATAGAAAGAGAATTCTCCGTCCCCCTCCTCTGGTTACGGCTCTTAAAAAACTTCTGCGGCCTTTTTCTTTCGCCTTGCACGAATTTGAAACTCGACGCCTTTATTAAAACTTTTGATTGCGTTCGAGGATATTCCTCCTGGCAGACGGTGTCCCCTTTCTGTCCTATTAATGACTGCTAAAATATCAGGGAAACGCGAAACAGTGTAATTCTACAGGTTGTCTCGAAATAGGTAGAAGGAAAAATTTGAAAATTTAGAAAATACTGGTCGTTTCGAAGGGATTTTAATTGGTACAATCGATCGACGAACAGTTGATTGTGTAACGCGATTAGTCGGCTAAATTCTTCGCCATGTTATCGATACCGATGATCGCATTTCCGTTGTTATTCGAACTGGCTCGATCCAGGACGATCGTTTAATTAAATCCCGTATTCATGGAAATCCCTTTCCACGGACCAGTTAACCCTCTTAAACGATCATTGCGACCGGAATAATTCAAGAATCGACGAGTGATTAATTAATAGCATCGTTTCGTTGATACACATCCGATTAGTCATAGATCGGCGAAATTAATCGGACGTTAGAATGATAAAACGTCCCGATTGAAAATTGGAAGTTCGACAATCTACCAATTAACCGTGCCATTGGGTTAATTGCGTGTTCATTTTCATCTCTTCCGTTTCCTGTTGTTTTATCAGCACATTCGTGATCCATCAATATTTTCATAAGTCCATAATCATAATTCTAAATTATTACTTTCGTAATTGCTAGTATTATAAATTAATACAAATAATTATGGAATAATTATCCCCAGCTTTTTTCTAATATTCCCTAAAAATCTTATCAATCGGATAATCAGTGACTTTAAAAGAACAGCTCCATAATACCCCTTCCTCTTTTCCCCGTCAAGGGTAACATTGAAATTGAAGCGGATTCATCTGAGCCGATTAATCGATTCGAAGGGATTCATCGATTACGTCGTATTATTCAAAGTAGTCGGGGCTCGATGTAAATTACCGGTGAAGTTTTCATGGGTGTTTCCAAGGCCTTTTAGCTAATTGCTCGCCTTAACTAGCGCGATAGAGAGGACGCGTATTAATTACTGTAAGTAAGACACATCCGTGCGAGCCTCTTCTAACGAAACGTATCGTTCTTTGTTGCAGAAGCGAGGACCGGACAGAGGCAAGGTAAGAGGGATACTCTCGTAATGGAAAACACAGTCTCGCTTAAGTAATACGCTTTTTTCCTCGCGAAACACCCTTCAGATTCGCTGGCGCGTAAGTAGCTTTGATCGTACACCACGATTCAGAACATTTCCTCTTGTTTTGTTTCAAAGAGGTATTCTCTGCACTTTGAATAGCGACAGGACTTTGTGTTTCGCGTTCAATTATTCGTTCCTGCGTTGTTGTAAAAATTATACATGAATTAGTAAAAAATTAATAATTACTTAATGCAATTTTTCTCGAATCAATTTTAAATCCTTTTTGATATATATATAAAAAAAAAATAGAAAAGGAAAGAAGGTACTTTTGCGGTGGATCTTAAAACGGTTCGAGAATGTCCTCGCGATTACTCGGATTCGATTAAGGATTTCCCTGTCGGTCTAATACTAAAATAACTCGATGGAATCCACGGAACGCAACCCATGAAATTTCAGCAAGCATCGGAAAGGAATTCTATCAGCGGTGTCTTCTTTCTTTATACACTTCCTTGGGTAACGCGGTTGGAATTCCATTAAAAGAATTCTGATATCAACGACCGATTTCTTGTAATACATATGAATCATCATTTTTATTACTTCCCTTATTTACACAGAGGTATCCAATATAACTTAGTTCGATTCGCGTAGGGAAGAACCGTCGAGAGCTCGTCAAATATTCCACTGTGTACCGCAAGAACCCTCTTAGTCTCTGTTTATTTTCTAAACAACCGCCATACACCGACCGACTATTTCCGTTAATTGTTAATTCGCATGGCAAACAGCTCGGGTAAATACGCGAGGGTTGCTGTTAGTTATGTAAGATAGGACGAGGAAGCAACGGTCAGTAATTAAAATTTTTAATTTTGCGTATGAAATTCTGATCACTGGATTTTTCTCGATCAGAGAATTTCACCTGGATTCGTGATCAAAAAAATGGTACCAGCTTCTATGATCGGTATAATGGGCAACCGTGATAAAAAAAGAAAGTCCGACGTGACGGGAACCTTTAATGGGGGTGTCGGACAGTGGAACAGGTCGATCAATAGTCAGACAACGGCCATCTCATCGCAGCGCACGTTTTATGCCGCGTGCGTTTCCTCTCGCGGCGAATCACGCGCTCCTCTGACCTTTTTCCACCTGCGAAGATTCAGCTTTTCCGTCTTCACGAATCGACGAATCTCGATTCTAACTAATTATTTCACGTTGACAATTATTGAAAATCATAGCGCCATCAAATTAGGTATTCCAATTACCAATCTTCTGTAGATAATATAATTTTCATTTCTCCAGATATGAAATATTTTATCTCGCTAGAAAAATGAAAAATTGTCCATTTTCCACCATCTGCCCTTTTTTTCAAGCCTTTATCAATGAACTCGCTGACAGGGTAAAGCGTCCGATGAAATTCGCGCCGCTTCCAGTGATACCCCGCTCCGACGGTTACTTAATCCAATCCACTATCCCCATTTACTTTCGTTTAATCCGATTTGGACATCCGGCTAACATTGTCAGGGACCCTTTTCATTGCCCCTGGCGCTTGATCCTCCATCCTCGAACTGTCTAGCCCGTCCTGGTCGCAAGCGCAATTAGATATGCGCGTCTTACCCCTGTCGTAGCCGAGCCGGAATCGAACCTCTCCAAAGAAGAACGATTTGTCTACTTCCTCTCGGTAATCTCGCGGTAATTCGTCTTCAACTCAGGAATTAAACTCGTCCAACTTCTTCCCGACCTGATCGGGGAATTGAACAATCTCAAAGCTACGGAATTAAAGGTAGAATATTCCGGATTACAAATTTCAGCAGTAATTTAAATTACGCCAGTGCAAGGAGGCCACCGTTGTTTATAAATATTTAACGAAGAATTCAGTGTCGAGGAGCTGGCGATAAATCGTAATTCTAGGAGACGATTACACGGTAGCCGGGTCAGATCGTAGTAACGCGTTGCACGGGGTTAATTATTACAGCACCCGGTTGGATGGCAGTGTCTGCTTCCTTGGGTCGAGCCCGCTTCGCTTACGACTCAGCTTTCCATCATCCCTTATTGCCAGTTTATCCAACATCCTGCTTATTTTATTTATCCCCTCTTCAACAACCAGATTTCCTCGTTTCCACAACGTGGCCGTGGAATTTTTTATTTCAACATTACTTCTGCTCATTGCGCTCCAACAGCACTTCAATTGCACTTCCGATTTCTTCCGAGCCCGTAATATCGTTTTAATATCGTAGTTCACGTTTCATTAATCATCCCCCTGGAACTTGACTCGTAAACGTCCAAGTGTTGGCGGTATTGCGCGAGTTCCGAAGCTTCTCACCTTTATCGAAAAGGATTCGCAGTCAATCCTCCCACGCCAGGTATCAAGCGAGAAACGGATCAACCGGAGTTGGCCGGAAATCGAACGAAGGCTTTCGAGTTCGCAACACGGTCACGCGACTCTGTTTCCGGAACTTACCCCCCCGACTTGGCGGATTTCTTTGCAACTAGACCGTGGGGAACGAGCTCGTTTAACCGTTTCACTTCGTAAATGCCGGCAAGTTGTTCGTGTACAGGCAATTACATGGAATTTCTCCCTTCGTCCATCGGTCGAACAAACTACCCCTTGGAATCATCCCTCTTTCTCTGATAATTTTTCAGAAATGGTGGTTTTTGATATTGCGATTATTTTGAAAGATTTTCTTTCGTCACCAGGGAATTTTCGTAAAGTAGATCCTTCAGTGTCTTTCAAAGGTGATTTTCTTCGAAACAATTGTTTTTCAACCCCGTTCAACCTTCTTCCGCCGTACAGACGCTTCCTGATCGAAACAATCATCAATCGGGTATGCGACATAGTTTTCTGAAGCGTCGTGAAATTCAATAATGGCAGTATTTCATGAGTGAAATTTTCCTAGGTGGTAAAACGGTCACGTAAAGTTCGAAGAGGAGAATCGTAAAGGGATATTGCCAAATATTTGTCTTCCTTTGGTATTTTTCCTTTTTCTTTCGACTCTATACTGCCTTTTGTCTACTTCCATCTTCCTTTCGTTCATTGTCGTCATATAATAATATTTGTGATGTATTTTCAGAAGACAAGAAAACTTAATACCTAATTTATTTTTAAAAACAAGTTGGAAGAATTCTACCGAGTTTAATTCTCTTCGTCTCGAGAGAAATGCATCGCAATCTCAGTTTGCATGTTCAATTTCACTTAATATTCTTATAGCGCTAATGTTTTACGTTCGTTTTTCTTTCTGTTCTTCCCCTATTTACTGCAGCCAGCATGAGAGACGCGAGGTAATTTAAAGAGTTCGTCCGGCGTATCCACGTTTCTTTAATGCCGTTTAAATTCCTCGCTCTTCGCTATCCTCTTGAAGGCGACGCACTATTTTATGCATGTCCTTGTGGTCGGGGGGGTTAGTGGATTTTCTGGTTTTTCATTTGCGCCGGGAAATTCGTCGGGAATTCATTTGGAAGTTGTCTATCCAGGAATCTCTTGAAAAACGAAAAATAAAATGTTGGTATTTTGGTCAGCTCTTTTGTAAATAAAATATACAAGATATTCAATTAAGAAGAAATCAAAGAGAAAATTAATTTACTCCTGTCTAAATTAGTAAAATGAAAATTCCTCTTCAAATTAATTACATTATTAATTTTATTTTCAAAACTATTTTACAATTTCTTCGAAGCACAAAATACTTGAAATACTTTGGAGAAGTTGGTCTATCAAGGTTGAGTATATTCAAAGGAGAATACAAGTTAGATACTCGTCATTCTCGCGCAAGAGATAAGAACAGTTGCTTAATGTAGCAATATTTTTTCTTCTTTTTTCCTCGGCGTAGAAAGCATTTCGTTTGCAAACGTTGATTTACGCGAATATTTCTCCAGGTACCACTTTCGTCTGGTTGTCGAGGAAATACGGTGCTGCTTATCTTGTCAGAGAAAGAAGGTGACAGAAATATCATAATGGAAAGTGCAATTCAAGACGATCCGAGGAAAGCGAGCTTCTCAACAACGAAATTTTTCCTTTAGACGCAACCGGCCGACTGTTGCGTCCTTTTCAAGCGATTTCAATACGAATTTCGCTGATCTCGCGAAAACTTCAACTAACCGTTATACAAAACGGAAGTGAGGAAAAGAATGCAGCTTAGTATAAGTGTAATTTCGAACCACTCGAGAAATGTGGGTCACGGTATAATTTTCGCGAGATCATTTCGAAACTTCGGCTTCATTTAAAATGTATTTCTTTCCTCATGAAATTTTTCCACATCGCAGGCTATCCTTTACCTCGTAATTTTCCTATTTCACCTACCTTTTCCTCTAACGCACGGCACAGGTGATTGACATTTTTCATTTCTACGTGAAACAACAGAAATATAGATGGCAGGTTTTTCTGGGTAAATTTCATGAACTGTAATTACAAACTAATATTTTACTCGATTTTACCTCTGGTACAAGCACCTCTAATTAAGATTAAAAGGACGTTAAAGTTGGGACGCCGATGCAAATGAATTTTTTCTCCCGGTTTCATTATAATACCAGATATGCTTGTGCTATTTTATTTATAGTATATCATATGGAAGAGCGAGGATAAAAGTCGAGGGAAATCTGAAAAACGCGACACCGACCATCAGGATTCAAACTAGGGACTTTCTGGGTCGTAACTTGGCACGCTATGCACCGTCGTCTTATCGTGATCTCGTTTCAAATGTCTTTGTTTCTTTCACACGGGTATTCGTCATACGGTTTCATGCATTTTACGTTTTATCTTACTTACCGCTCGTAACTTACCATAAAATAGAGTGTTATATGTTGTAAAAATCGAACACTGGAAAGCTGAGAAGTTGGAAAAATGAAAAATTATGAAATTGAGGTGATGCGAAAGTAGAAAATTACAAAGATTAGAAAGTTGGAAAAGTGAGAAGGTATAAAGTTAGGAAATTGGAAAATTCTGTAGTTGGAAAAGTGAAAAATTATGAAATTGAGGAAATACGAAAGTAGAAAATTATGAAATTA